TTGACGTGAATGTTACTCCACCTCAAATGCAACTTGCTGTGCTGCCGGTTCTTGGGCTCGAGGGTGACCCTGAAATACCTAATCGAACGCTTATGTTCCTTTACGTGATTGGTCAGCGTCCCGCTGCGGTTATCAGCACAGTCATTCACAACTGACAGGACAACGTGCTCGAGCCTCAAGCTTTTATACACTGTGCTTCTAAACAGCGAGTCACATGTATGATCCAAAGGGGTTGCAAAATGCGGCTTACGTATGGCTGGCTGATGACGATTTATACGTCATGATCAACCACGTTAGTCTCTATTGCCGTTTCTGGCGATAGTCACCTGCTTATAATGCTCCCTGCTGTGTGGATATTGGAGGAGCTTGAGAGTTAGCTCCAAGATACACTCGCAGCGAGCACGTCTCGTACCGAAATCTACGGCGGCCCGACTTCCGAAGGCTAACAATTAACCAGAGTCGGATAGCTTAAAATGACAGTACCTAGTTATAGATGCCGCGCTATACTGAGAATGTACATGGTAGCATTACGCCGCATAAGCAAAGACTGCAATATAGCTGTACGAATCGTAATTACGGACTGTTTCGACGTAAGTCTTTGTAAAATTACGTTAGATGCTTCATAACTTCAAGAATTTTGTCTTAAGAAGGGTCGTTTTCAGCGGTGCATGTAAATTCTTAAAAAATGTTTCATTTTCCGAGGTCTTTTTCTTTTTCAGGCACACATTTCCTTCTTTTTGTAATTTCGTCTAAATGTCAAAGTCGGCTATGGTGAGGCGGCCAGGTATTTTGGCTCTTGCAATACTGGCGGGACATTTTTTCAATATACGTCGATGGTTCTAAAAGCATCCAATTTTCATTCTACTTGGCAGTTTAACTAGAAATTCAATTGCATTTTCAATAATCTCAAATATCTATAAGTGGATATTATAGTTTGTTCAGAAATATGCAGCTGTTTTATACATACCTAACCGTAATAAACGGCAACTTAGTCAATACGTTAGGAAGCAGGCATACATTAACTGAAACTATCACTGAAGTATATTTAATCAAAACACTGTTGAAGCCTAAATGTTTTGCCCACTTTATGCTTGGTTTATTTTGATGATAATTCGAGAGCTAAGACGGTTAGTTTATTAGTGCTGGGTGTGGTAGTTGCAAACTAAACATTAAAAAGAATCAGCAGCACATGAGGGCATAAGATAGCCACCAGACTTTCAGTTTCAATGAACTCGAAATTTTCACGCGAGGTAAAACCAAGGTGGCTCATATATTGATTGTGACACGGTTTACCAAACTATAACCCATGAAATAGTTTTTCAAACTCTACTCTCTACATTCCTTTATACCAGATATTCGGAAAAATATTATCGATTAAGGCGAAAGTATGCTCACCGATCACGGCATGGGGTGTGTTCGTCCCTTCAGTCTGTGGTTCACTCTAAACCTTTCGGTTGATTCGCACAGCATTAAGTCATACCAATAAACAAAAGGGAACTAAGATGATACCTTTGGCTCTTATATCTATCGTTTGCCAAAACACCATTAATGATTCCAGTACTTGTATGAACTACCGCGCTAGTCACTTACACTGACATAACACGGCAACAATTAAGTATTCAACCGACCGAGTAATATTGACACGAAAGGTGATTATTTACTAATTTTGTGGTGCATCTGTAGAAATAACGCCCTATAAGGACTCCATAATTATGCAAGTATCAGACTTATTGGTTGTTCTAAATGATAATTACGAAACTCAGATGACTGAAATGGAGTTTGAAGCGTTCGGGCCCATTCCTCATTTATAATATACAGGAACTTGTATTTCACAGTGTACCAATAGCTTTGATTCATTTTTGACGATTAAGCATATGGAAATATGTATGTTATATTTATGTCATAAATAGGTTTGCTTGATAGTATTCAAAGTAAGTGGTACGTTACTTATAAAAAGACCCTCGATTTAAAATTCAATTATCGTCAAACCAACTGTAAAAGGTATACTGGATTTAATCCTGGTTCGTATTAGCAGAAACTCCCTTGATAAATACATCACTACTAGTTGAGAATTCTCGAGCCTTGAACAATTTACACTGAAAGATGCAATATGGCTCGTATAAAGGTGAGTATATCGATTCGATGCACGTTTCTCCGAGCTCCTGCGATAAGCCTGATGACTTTGGAAGTTAATTCAGTCTCTTTTGCTTCAGTACTCTGGTGTTTATATATAAGCAGATAGCCTTTTTATCATTTTATCTAATTAACTTATTAAGGTTGCGCTGATATGGAGGAATATTAATATTAACGATGGACCACGAATTGTATATGAAGAAAAAAGGATTTTTCGTGCAATTTTGTGAACGCATCATTGTATATTTGAAATCTGTAGAACGATGCTGCAGCCAGGCTAAGGTCAAACGTTACTGTTCAATAAACGGACACATTTTAAGAAGAATAGAGGTTAAAGTGGGTCCGACCTATACGCCCAAAGAGATATTAGGAAAAGAGACTGTTATTATAGTTGTATCATTAACCCCCTATTTACCGTCTTAGTGATTAAACGATCATGTTGTACGGCGGAGGCTATTTCTATTGATAAAAATAGTATCTTCATAACAAGATTGACTTTCATCTAAATGAGTGTAAAGAGAACTTTCGTGACCAGCAAGTTAAGCATGAGCACTGTACATTTTCTTCACATTTCATAAGTACAGGATGGAAGTAAATGGGAATTTACACTGTTCTTGCAATGCGCTGCATGATATATTTGTTCTATTGAATTTAGAGGGAACTGGACAGGGTAAGTTTGTCTTGTAAGTGGAAATAAATCGCTTTAGACCTCAAAGAATTTGCATACCGGTCATAAATAAGACATAAAAGAGTTGGTTTGATGGTTTTTCAAAATCAAGCATGTTGCGTTTATGAAAATGTATGTAGCCGTGTGTTTAAAACGAACCACCTAAAACTGCAGATATGTTTTTATATGAGTGAAGTTAAGTAGAAACGAAGAAAAAAAGGAAGATCGGAATGGCTATTTGTGGCTTATCAGCCGTCATCAACAAGGCATATTCGAATCCCAGGTGTGCAAAACCCTAGATTTGATTTCGCAAACTATTGGTCATAAATTATATCACGCTACAATTAAGACACGGTCATTTGATTTTTTTGGTTGCGATCGGAAATAGGATGATAGTTTGGGGCTCACTAAGATAGGTAAGCAACAATTAGAATAGCTCCAAGCAGATAAACGAAGAACCATTCCATTGAGAAAAATGATATGAGCCAACAAGCGTATGCTAATAGCGAAATCGTAGGAAATCTACTATTAGTGCAAATAATAGGAAACAGTTTCATTACCTCAAAGAAAATATCCGCCATGCCGCTTTGCTTAACAGTTAAAAACTCCGGATACTTCATCCACATCATTGGCTTAGACTGGTTGAAGTTTATTGTCACGGTCCTCATGTTGGTTCCGTTTGTTAAAAGGCAGTCTATGCAACCTTCCCCTGCAGACAGGAGTTTTAAGTGAATTTTTTCATTGCTCAGGTCGGCCAAAGGCAGGGAGGCGAGTAATTTGCCGGAAATTGTGTTCTCAAAGACTCCAGTTGAACAGCCACCGTGTGTCGCTTGTGGCGGGCAGGCTAACAAAAAAGACATCTGGTAAGCGGCCTCTCTCTCATCTAACATATCTTGCACTTGTACCTTTACAAAATCTGATGGAAGCAGCACGGCTTTAAGATGGAAGTTTTGCGGTTGATTTAACCTTCTCTCGTTATGCTTTACGTGTAGATGATAAATTCCGAAAGCTGGTTCGCCCATCGAAGGAATATTTTCAGTTATTTGTCGTAGTAATTCTAATCGTTCAGGTAAGACGTCTACAGACGCATTGACAAACAGGCTTTGGGTGTTTTGACATAAAATACGAAATTGAAAGTCGTCCTTCAACTTGAGCGGATTGAAGTTTTCGTAGATGAGTTGACCTTCAGATATCAGGCTCAGGGGAAGTGTGTGAACAGATTGTCTGCAAAATACAGTATCCATGGCAACGGTCTCGTCGTATGCTTCCGTATGCGCTCGTTTCAGTTGATGTTTCATGAGTAGATGCCCATGTTTCGGTTGAGACACAATTTGCAAGAGGTACTCAAATGTTGGGGGTCTTAAAGAAACAACCGTCTCATCTAAAAGTTCGTAATCCTCACGTAAGTTCAAACAACGTGTATCCAGAACCCCAAACAGCTTCTGTTTTAGCTCCAGTACTCCTCTGTCTTCAACCAAACCCATTTGATTGACTGATTTTGGCAGGTTCTGAAGCGCTTTATGAATAATGGAGTTGGGTATGATGCTTATGATCTCCACTGAGAAGCTATATTCTCTTGGCTCTCGATAGGATCGAACGTGCACGAAAAAACGAAAAAAATCTTTGACGTGTACTAGTCCGTGCGTTATGTGTCGTTCCTTTATAGCTTTGTCAGTAAGCACGCGGCGGAAAGTGTAAAATAGACTTTCTGAGTTGATGTCACTTTGCCTGAAAACAGACCCAACGCCGAGATATCTTCTTGTGATATTTAGGGGATTATTCCTTAAAAACAAATGGCCGTGTCGTGGCATCTTGGAAATTGTGTAGAAAATATTTTCCGGTCCCTCAAAAGGAGTCACAGTTGTGTACAAATTCCATTTTGTGATAACACTAGTTGAACCATCACCCATGTTTGACGTCCCGTAGACAGTAGTCTTTGGTTGTCGAAAGACTAAAAGCGGACCATTGGCAACAATTTTGAGGTTAATTCGAATGAAGTTGATCTGAAGAAATAGCTTTGCTTGCCCGCGTAGACTACTGTCTACCACGTGCAGCATGATACGTTCAGTTACAGTAGACGAAGGTTCGGCAGATTGCACAATATTTCCTGTGTAACGAACGTGACCGAAATCTACATCGTGACCAGAGAACTCGTGGGCCTCAATCCAGTTGTCAGCATGAGAACCATTCTGTGAAAATTCCGAAGAAAGTCGTTCGATCACTCCGAAGTCTACATTAAGTACACGGAATTGATATTGGAGAATGTCAAAGGGCGAAAATGAGGAGCCGTTCATCGGAAGAATATTTTGTGCCGAGAGGATAATGCTGCTGACCGGCTTGATAAATAAGGGTGTTAAATGCAGGGTTTCAGTTTTGGTATTATCTGGTAGGCTGTTCTGTATCAAAGACCGTTTTTTCCTGAAATTGGAGATACAGTTACTCATAAGAAGTTCATTTGGCTAACGTAGCAAAATTTTAAAAAAATATAGAACTATATGCACAACCCCATATATAAAAGTTCTCCTAGGCACTGAATTACAAAGAAAAGCGCAAGCCTACTCGTGAAATAGAAAATAAGAAACAGTAAACGTTGTAAACTGCAAATTCATACCTATTGATATGATGATTTGGGAAATAGGGGTTGCATGTTGTATTGGTAACATAGTTTCTGGATACGTCAATTAACTTTAGCTGAATACGTACATTATGTGTGCCAATTAACCTTCCCAAAGATATCTAATGAGATGATGATGATGATATTCTATATATTCGACCAATCGATCGATCACAAATTTCTTTGGATGTGTTGAAAGTGAGGCCAGCTGATTTCTATATATCCAGAGACTGTGAATTAACACGCATTCCATTTACATACCTGGCTCTGCTGTCCAGTATAGTTTGAATTTGATGAATAAAGTAACTTAAACGTTAGTGCGGAAATTAAACTGCTCGTAAATTCCGTCGGTGCTTACTTTTTTGTGAACCAATTTACTTAAGTGAATTATCATAGCAACTTCAGATTCATGGAAATGCAGAAAGCATGTTTCACAAATAAAAAGCATCCCATGAAATTATACACAAGTGTGTATAGTAGCAATTCACACAAAATCCAAAACATAGGGTTTACAGAATGATTGACCGAAATAGGCAGCTTAGAGGGACGTCGATATATGGGGCTTTCTCGTAGCGGTATAACTAACAAAGTACTTTAGAGAAGGTTGCATCAGTCTCCATAGCGATTGGATAAAAGCCTTTGAACTTACGTTGCGGAAACTTTCTGATAGGTTATCAAGATCTCAGATATCACAAATGTCATCTTACTGGCGTGAATTTTGTTTGCTTGAAGGGATAGTTTATATCTTATTTGTCTTCCACAAATGGAGATGCCTAAGTAACCTTAGCGCCCCAGCACACAGTGATAACTACTGATTTCGATTCTGGAAATTTTTCCCTATAAAATTACTTATATTGCCTCATGTTTCTAACATACAAACGTGCAGAGTCTCCCTAAATTTTGTCAGATACTCAATGTTTCTGTAACATGAGCAACCTGAAACATCCGAGCAATATCAGCAAAACGCAATTAAGAAATCTAAATACCGCCCCAAAGGGCCTCCAAAACTGCGCGATATGTCCACTTGTTAACATACAGTGATTTATTCAACAATTTTAAACAATCGTACACGATACATCGTCAACAGGGAGTATGTGGTCCTCAAGAATTTTCTTTCGAAAGGCTATGTTAACAATTGGTCAAGCAAAATTTTTATGCAACTGCCAGATTTCGTAGACGTTTTCCCCTCATTTTTGCTAAAATACCGTAAAAGTGTATAATACTGCAAGTAAACTGATTGGTCAACGACAGTCCACAAGCCAAATCATGAAATTTATCATGCCCACCGTCCTTCAGGCCTAAATGTGATCATCTCAGTTAATCATGCACAAAAGTTCAACACGTATTCCATATGAGCTATAGTCCAACTCTGAGAAAGCAGGTTCGTTTGTTCTGTAAATGATCCTTTCGGTTCCTGGTCTCAACGCTGCTACTAAGGCGTAGAAATTTGCGTGACTGCGGTTGCACAACTGGACTCAATTTGAAATAGCAATTTGATTTTTTAAATTATCACCTGCCTATATATGTAGGCTTTTATGCGAAAAT